TTTTTTTATTGTCACTGTATAGGTTTACTGCTCATTTAATAGTTATTCTCTACTCATGTAATCATTTTATTAATCTATTTGCAAACAATTTTTCACTAATATTAGCTCCAAGTATTACTACCCTTAAACAGCAGTCTTCTGGGAGTTATCTATATTGGTAACCTAGCCTTACACTAGGACCCATGGGCATCTGCAGAAATTGAAGGGGAGGGGCATATTCGCTATCACATAAAGCATAATCATGCACAGGCTGAGAAACGTGATGCAACAGCTCAAGTGGATATTATAAGTGCCAGGGATACAAAGCTGTATTCCTGTCACTATAGCTCCCTCTGCCTCCCCTCTCCCTTCTTGCCCACTCTAATATAATATAATTTTACATTTATTCCAGTCTGCAGTCACACTGTGCAGCACTGCCCTAGGAAGCACCTCTTGTAGCCATATGAGAAGTGGCCAGTGGCTGTATCTCTAAAAACACAGGATTTACTGAAAAAAAGCTTGAAGGGGCCGATTATACTCACCAGAACTAATATAATAAGCTATAGTTGTTCTGGTGACTATAGTGTCCCTTTAATGTTAACATTATTCAACATTCAACATTATTTAATTAGTCATACACCCATCACGGCACTATAGCTGAATAAAAAATGTAGAATCTGCATTTGGTGTAAACATAAAAAAAAAAAAAAAAAATGACAACTAAAATACATGACAACTGTATGTATTTTGAAATGTATTAAAATAAATAGCATTAAATATACTAATTATATATACTCAACAAGGTTTCCACCCTGCTCATAGTGCTGAATGACCATTCCACTGTACAAGTAGTCACTGGTAATGTGAGAGCAACATGAATTGGTTGTCAGATGGAATAAATCTGTGTTGTTTAACAAATCTAAAAATACATTATCAAACTGTTCTACCTTTGTTACGTAGTTACATAGTTACATAGCTGAAAAGAGACTTGCGTCCATCAAGTTCAGCCTTCCTCACATATGTTTTTGCTGTTGATCTAAAGAAGGCAAAAACCCAATCTGAATTGCTTCCAATTTTGCAACAAACTAGGGAAAAATTCCTTCTTGTCCCCAAAATGGCAGTCAGATATCTCCTTGGATCAAGCAGCTATTACCCCACTAATTAGAAATGATATCCCTGTATGTTATGTTTTTGGAAGTATGTATTCAATTGCTGTTTAAACATCTATATGTACTCTGATAAATCCACCTCTTCACGCAGACAATTCCATATCCTTATAGTTCAAACCCTTTTCTTTGCCTTAGATTAAATCTCCTTTCTTCCAGCCTAAATTCGTGACCTTGTGTCCTATGTATAGCCCTGTTAGTAAATAGATTTCCAGATAATGGTTTGTACTGTCTCCAAATATATTTGTATAATGTTATCATATCCCTCTGAGGCGCCGTTTTTCCAAACTAAAGAGATTTAAATGTTTTAACCCTCTCGTAATTGAAATGCTCCATTCCTTTTATCAATTTTGTAGTTCGTCTTTGCACTTTTTCTAGTGCCATGATATTCTTCTTTAGAACAAGTGGCCAAAATTGCACAGAATATTTAAGGTGTGAAAATAAGATCGAAAAATAAAAATAAGAGTCCCAAATCTAGCAGCAGACGCGTTTCAACTCTAGGCTGGAGTATTCTTCAGTGCTGTAGTGCTGTAGTACTCTCTCCTCTGTGGTTATAAATACCCTTTTCAATCGTTCTTCAAGCTTTCCCAGCTGTGTGGCTTCCTGTTTCTGGCACGGCATATCCATGTAAGACAACTACTAACAATTTATATTTTTATCATATATATTGTTAGTAGTTGTCTTAGGATCTTGTAGTCTTTTTAGTACATTATGTCACTTATGCATTGTTTATTTTTTTGCAGACGTATTTATTCATTTGTTCTTTCCCCTGTTTTATGATGTATATCTGGACTTTGTTTTAAGCCCATTTGCCCACACACAACATGGGACTATAGTAAATGTGCCCTCACTTTTATGATTGAGGGACCGGAAGTGACATAATCACGTCACGTAAAGGGCGCAATAGGATGACATGGATATGCCGTGCTGGAAACAGGAAGCTACACAGCTGGAAAAGCTTTAAGAACGATTCAGAAGGGTATTTATAACCACGGAGGAGAGAGTACTACAGCATTACAGCACTGAAGAAGACTCCACCCTGAAATGAAACTCGTCTGCTGTTAGATTTAATGTATTGTATTTGGGACTCTTTTTTTTTACCTTGCAGTGTTTACTTAGGCTTTGTGCCTAGTATATTTATTTTATTTACACTGCTTATTGTCCCTGATTTTATTTTGTTTCAATAATAAATATTTGGGTTCATTATTTTGTATCCTGTACTGCTCTCCTCAAGGAGATCATTTTTAGCCTTATTAGGCACCCTCCTGCACATCATATAGAGCCTGGGATGGCTCTGCATCCTGACAGTCTTATCCTATATGGGGGTTTACTGAATATATACACAGTTTGCAATATGTTGTTTTATTTGTGTCTTTTAGATTGATCCTGATATTTACATTTCGTTCACTGGTGCAGTATCTGTTTTATTGCTTTATTATATATTCAAGATGTGGTCTTACCAGTGATTTATAAAGAGGCAAAATTATATTTTAATGCTGAGAATGTATGCCCCTATTTATACATGACAAAACCTTACTGGCCTTATCAACTGTAGAGTGACATTGCATATTGCTGCTTAATTTGTTGTCTATAATAATTTCCAAATCCTTCTTGTGTATGGTTACCCTTAATTCACTACCACTTAGGGTGTAAGTTGCTTGTGCATTCTTGATCCCAAAGTGCATAACTTTGCATTTCACTACATTGACCAGATCTCATACCACGTGATTGCTTCAGCTTCCAGAATTTCGACTTTGTAAATTTCTCTCATGTTTACAATCTGGCATTTGTATTGCACAAGTGTCAATTTTGCCATTTGTTTTGTGTAAAGTGAAACTTAAATTTTAAATTTTCAGACTTAAATTTTTCTTATTTTCATTGCCAAACTGACTTCCTAATGATGAAATAATAGAGTCCATGTATGGCACATAGATGGATTGTTGATAGTATTCTTCAACTGAAGAGCAATCAAAATTAGAACAAAATACTTGCCAGCCACACTTTCTGGGAACAGAAAGTTCAATGTTCAAGTTTTCTGCCATTCTTTGAACACTTGAAAATATTTTCTTGAATTGCTCTTCTGCTTTTTTCTTTATGTTCATGGAACACGGTCAGAAGATCTTGCAGATGTTTACAGACCTGGAGAATATCAAGCTGAACAGCTTGGATAGCCTGGCTTATCAATTAAAATTTCAATATTGAGGAGTAGTTTGCAATGCTATTCAAGCAAAAGAGGAAGCTCACAGTGCTTGACGAACATTGCAATTGATATGCGTCCTAACATGTTTTACCAGATGCCGTAGTGACCAGGAAGCTTAATTGTTGAAAAATGTTTTCAAAGTTTGAGCTAAAAATTCTAATGCTTTTATATTTCGCAGTCCAGCGTGTTTCACTCAACAATGACACATTGGGAATAAGAGATCTTCTTTTTGGACTCTCACTGAAAAACTTGATGATGGCCTTCACTGTGCCAACAGAATTCCATATATCAGGAACAGCAGTCAGGTCATTCACAACCAAATTCAATTCATGTGCAGCACAGTAAGCAAAAGTAGCTTTAGAAAATTTTCTTTTTATTATTGTGTGAACGCCACCTTCCTTTCCTGCCATTGTAGATCATCCATCATATCCTTAGCCATGGAGTTTTTCTAAATTTAATCCAAATTTAGAGCATGAGTCCATAATCATATTTGCAATTGAGGTAGCATCCATTTCTTTTAAAGTTGCAAATCCAAGGAATTCTTCTTTGATGACAGCTACAGTGCTACTTGTCTACAAAACGTACTCAAACTGACATCTGTTCTTTTCCAGATATATTAGCACTTGTTATCAGCAATGACTAAAAAACCATTTGACCTATTGACTAAGTTAACTAGATCTGCAATAAATCCATTTTCAACTTGAACTGATGTATTCCGTGCGTTAACTGGCACATTCTTCAGATGGTTCTCTAGCACCATATCTCCTGCTTCAATGCAAAATTGGTAAAGACTTTGAATATTTCCGGTTGTACTTTTTTTCCCATGCAAAGCTATGTCATGAATGCCACAAAATAAAATAGTGGACAGAATTGGAAATAACTTTCTTCGATTTTATTCAACTTGACGCTTCACAGTGCTGTCTATTTGGCAAACAATACACGTTTCCGGTTTCATTCTGATCTCCAAATAGTGAGTTGCATTCACGCAGGCATTTTTATGCCATGATGTTGAAATATGGTTGCGTGCACGTTCATGAAAATCTTTATATTTGGTAAAAAGTGTCATTTTGAAAGCTCCTTGTGTCCCACGACATACTGGCTGTGAAAAAACAGTACAATATTTGAAAATTGCCCATTTCAGTAGTGAAGTGTAGCTAAGCCATGCTGAATATTGACTGATCCACACCCAACGGAAATAGCGTGGTCCACTTGAATCCTTCTTAAAGTCATGATTTTCTGGTGGTGTGTATGTATTTATTAGAAGATTGTATTTAAGATCGTCTATTAGCTTTTTTATGAATTCAATTACAATCCGATATCATTTAAGGGAGCGTCAAGGTGGCTACATTCTGTTGGAGCTGAAACTGGTTCTGCAGAACTGCTTGTGCTTGGTTCTGCCTCTTGTTCACCATGTCCAGATTCTTCTCTTGCTTCCCTATCAGATTCTAGATCATCCAATTTTCGTTTTGAAAAATAATTTTTGGATGTCCAAAAGAAATGGGGTTCATTAAATACTCTACTGTATTCAATAAGCATGTTGTACCAAGCTGTCCTTGCATAATATGAAGCTTTATTGGAAAGATGAGATTGTAAACTTTAAATAATTCACCTGCAATGCACTATTTTAAGAATATGCCCCATGTGTATGCAATGTGTGTGTGTGTGTGTTTGTGTGTGTGTGTGTGAGTGTATATATATTTATACATACACACACACACACACACACATATATATACATACACATATATACATATATAGTTAATACAATGTTAAACAAAAATCTGCACACCAGTCAAGCCATAAGACTTGCTTTTCCCACAGAAATCACAAATCTGCAGTGATGTTACTACCGCAAAGGATTCTGAGTGGGCATATTCAAATTAGTTTAACAAAGAATATACATATATAAATATATACACATACATATATATATATAAAAAGCAAAAGAATCTTGCACTTCACCAATCCAATATCAAGTGCCTGGTGCTTGTCAGCCAAAAATACAAAAATATTGCCAAAGATAGCACTCCAAGGACTAATATAAAATATAACTTTTATTACCTCGACTAAAACATCGCAAGGTCAACGTTTCAGCTTGATCCCCTCAAGCTTTCGTCAGGACTCCTAACGAAAGCTTGCGGGGATCAAGCTGAAACGTTGACCTTGTGATGTTTTAGTCAAGGTAATAAAAGTTATATTTTATATTAGTCCTTGGAGTGCTATCTTTGGCAATATTTTTATTTACATATATATATATATATATATATATATATATATACATACACTAAACAAATTATAAACACAGCACTTTTGTTTTTGCCCCCATTTTTCATGAGCTGATCTCAAAGTACAAAGACTTTTTCTATGTACACAAAATGAATATTTCTCTCAAATATTGTTCACAAATCTGTCTAAATTTGTGTTATTGAACACTTCTCCTTTGCCGAGATAATCCATCCACTCCACAGATGTGGCATATCAAGATGCTGATTAGACAGCATTATTATTGCAAAGGTGTGCCTTAGGCTGGCCGCAATAAAAGGCCACTCTAAAATGTGTAGTTTTATTACACAGCACAATGCCACAGATGTTGCAAGTTTTGAGGGAGTGTGCAATTTGCATGCTGACTGCAGGAATGTCCACCAAAGCTGTTGCCTGTGAATTGAATGTTCAAAGGCATTTCAGAGAATTTGGCAGTACATCCAACCAGCCTCACAACTGCAGACCACGTGTAACCACACCAGCCCAGGACCTCCACATCCAGCATCTTCACCTTCAAGATCATCTGAGACCAGCCACCTGGACAGCTGCTGCAACAATCGGTTTGCCTAACCAAAAAATTCCTGCACAAACTGTCAGAAACCATCTCAGGAAAGCTCATCTGCCTGCTCGTTGTCCTCATCGGGGTCTCAACTGGACTGCAGTTCATTTTTGTAACTGACTTGAGTAGGCAAATGTTCATATTCGATGGTGTCTGGCACTTTGGAGAGGTGTTCTCTTCACGGATGAATCCCAGTTTCCACTGTACTGGGCAGATGACAGACAGCGTGTATGGCGTTGTGTGGGTTACTGGTTTGCTGATGTCCATCTTGTGGATCGAGTGGCCCATGGTGGCGGTTGGGTTATGGTATGGGCAAGCGTATGTTATGGACAACGAATACAGGTGCATTTTATTGATGACATTTTGAACGCACAGAGATATCATGATGAGATCCTGATAACCCCCACCGTTCCTGGGGTGGGGGGGGCAGCTATATACGGTTGTCACCTCAAGGGCTGGAGAACTGGGAGAGCGGCCACCTCTTCTCAGCTTAAACTCATGTAGGCTGCATAACTCGATCTGGGTGATCCGGTGCTGGAAAAGCTCATGTGAGGTATCCACTGGTGCACCGACACCTGCTTAACAGGGTGAGTATTATTTGTGGTCAGATTGGTCAAGTGGCCCTTCATTAGACCTACATTATTGGTACCCAACTCTGGTTGGCTCAGCAGTGAAGCTCCGCCCCCTAACCACTATAATTTTAATCAGCACTCTTAGCTTGTAGTTAACACAATTTTGTTAAACATAGAAGTCCCATGTTTTCAATATTTATGTGTTATTAAGTGCGTTTTTTTAACCATAAAAGACTATAGCTACAATAAATTATGTAAAAGGTTGATATTAGTTTGAACATCTCTAGAATCACTTTTGGTAATTTATTTTAATAAAAACATTTGATAGTTCATTCAAATGGACAAAATTAATTAGGCTATCCACATATAAACTAGGCTATAAACTGTTCCCTTTGTTGAATTATAAATGTCAGCAAAAGTAAATTTTAAACTGATGACTATGCTCCACTGGACTGTTTTATAGATCTGACAATGAGGAAAGGGTCAATTTGTTGTTATTTACATAAGTGTTTGGCAGAAACCACTTATAAAGAAGCATTTCAGCATTTGTTTATTGTAATTTAATTTTCAGTGCATTTGCAGCCATTTTCCAAACCCAGAAAGCACTTCAAATAAACTGGTATCTGTAATTTTTCTTCTTTTTTTTATAAATGTTTCAATTTCAATAGAAATCTGCACTTTTCTAAGTTCACACTGCAACATCTGTCTGATTGAGAGCCAAGGAAACTTTCTTCTGCTTCCGTTAGCTCGTTTAACTCCTTTGACTGAGTCCATGTACTTCTGACTAATCAACGAGCTATGTATTATATGAAAACAAAGCAGCATTCTCATGTGCTCATAATTCAACCACAGAGGCTGACAAGCCTCTGATTGGTCATTCTTTCAACAAAGAGTTTTAAGGAGGGCATGCAACAGCTGCAGACACCATATTGTAAGCTATGTAAGAGAATGTAAATATTGTGAGCTAGTTGTATTATAACATAAATGTCATATTTTGTAACTTATTGAGTATTGTTTAATACATTACTTTTGACTTTTGGATATAGATAAAAAACATTAAACAAAATTTATGCTATTGACATTTTTCCTCATTTTGCTGGTTCCTTATACTCCCTAATTAAAGTGTTAGCCTACACACCACAAGCACTGCGGCCCATTAAAGTTGTTTTGTTGCAAATATCCTGCCCCTGTATTATGACTGAGTAATTTACAGCTGTTTAGCATATATTCTTTTTACTTACTTTGCCTTTTCCACAACTCTTTAGGCTCAAGATCAAACAGTCACCCTTCACACGTCCCACAAATACATGTTATCCATATTCTACCTTTTAACTTGCCAAAAGGCAAACAATATCCCCCTTATGCTTTTTTACTGTTTTTATTTTCATTGTTTTATTGTAGTTATGCATTATTTTATAAACAATATTATTATGCACAGAATTGAATTGCCAATTATGCTATACAAACACCAAGGAACCTTAACGAAGAAGGGTATAATAATAAAAAAATAAAAAAATAACACACATTACAATTATTCCAGTTTTTAGGGTCTCAGTCCAATACATGAGAACATAATTAAATAGTGACAAGCAATACTTACAATTAGTTACTAATCAGTAAATGATGATTAAGCCATGCCCTTGGTATAAAACACAAAGTAATAAAATGGAATATATTCAAATAAAGATAAAAAAGAACATATATATATATATATATATATATATATATATATATATATATATATATATATATATATATACATATATAAAAAAATAGGGAACAATAAAAATACAAAATAAAAAAGTAAACAGCTAGTAGACAAAAAAAATGATACAATGAAAATTTAATTTAAAATATAATGAAAAATATTATTCTTCTACGAGATGAGCTTTTTTTTTAGCTTGTTATGTCTCTTACCCTAACCTAACACAAAAAAGAGAATGATACCATAGGGTCTGCCAGTTATGCAAGGCCTACTCCCCAACCCAATCTTTTTTAGAAAGAAAAGTGGATAAAGGACATAAGAACAAGAAAGTTCTAATAAGAATATGGGAAGCGAGGTGGAGGTAAGGAAAAGTGAGAAAAAAATATCCAAGGAGTCCATGCTAGGCACACAACTAAGTTCTAAAACACCCGCCCATGTTGCTAGCAGCCCAGGCATAAAGTAAAGAGATACGTTAAGAAAAACACACAGTCACCATTGGCAACAGCTACCCAATAAACCAATTTTCCCATATTTCTTCAAATTTACCTAACTTATACATCAATCTAAAACAAATCTCCTTATATGTCCTAGTGGTTTTTAAGCATCTAATAACTCTGTGGAGCTCTGGAGGATCTGCTACCTTCCGGGTTTGCACTGTCAAAGTAATAGCAGTTGTTGTAATATACATGGTTTAAAGCCTTGCCTGCGCCACAGATCTGGGGCTCCAGCATATTTAACAAAAAAGCTTCAGGGAACATAGAGATCAAACCCTGTTGTTTTATTTAAAAAAGGCCATGAAACCCCTTCCACAACTTAAAAGCGGACACTCCCAAATTATGTAGCATAGTACCAGGAGTTCTCATACAATGTCAAAATCTCTTTTCTGCTGCTGGATGTATCAATGCTTTAAGCTGTGGAACAAGGTACCTTGCGATTTGTCTCCCAGTGTCCCAAATATTAAAAAAACAAGGGTTATATGTCTAACTGCCGTGAGCCATGTCTTGAGAGGAAAAGTATGCTGTAATTCTTTCTACCACTGCAACTTAACATAACATAATTCAGAGGGATTCAATGCTTTTTGTGAACTATTATAACAAATAGATATCAGTTGTACCCGACTGTTTTTCTAAAAGATTTATTGTAGCTGTATTTACCCACTCTATTGTATATTGAAGAATTATATTATTAAACCTTAACTATGTCAATAATTACTCATAGGATAGGGTATAAGAATGCACTAGATGTTGAAACGATCTTACACAGGTTGAATAGACTGGTCCACCACCTTTCTCATCCCTTATTATTATTATTTTATTATTTATATAGCACCAGCAAATTCCGTAGCCCTGTGCAATGGGTGGACTAACAGACATGTAATTGTAACCAGACAAATGGACGCGCAGAGGGGTTGAGGGCCCTGCTCAATGAGCTTACATGATAGAGGGTTGTACCAAGCCTCTAAAGGGACATCTGGAGGAAGCAGCTTTAATGTTTTCAGTGGTGCCACATACATTTCCCTACATTTCACTAGCATCTTAGTTACCCATTTCTGCCATATTGCCACTGAGTAATTTGTTGTATAGAGGCAAGTAGACCATATCAAGTGGGTCAAATCAGTCATTCTGAAATGC